TCTTTATTGTCATATTCACGACGTTTCGGCCGTTATACGCTCCGGCTTTCGTCAGGATTTGTCTATATTTCTGAGATGACATACTATAAGTATTTATACTATTTACATTGTTCGAACTGTTGTCCTCATCTTTATTGTCATGTTCACGACGTTTCGGCCGTTATACGCGCCGGCTTTCGTCAGGATTTGTCTATATTTCTGAGATGACATATTATAACTATTTATACTATTTACATTGTTCGGACTGTTGTCCTCATCTTTATTGTCATATTCACGACGTTTCGGCCGTTATACGCTCCGGCTTTCGTCAGGATTTGTCTATATTTCTGAGATGGCATACTATAAGTATTTATACTATTTACATTGTTCGGACTGTTGTCCTCATCTTTATTGCCATACTCACGACGTTTCGGCCGTTGTGCACTCCAACCTTCACCAGGATCTTTCTATATTTCTGCGATGAGAGGTATTGCAACCATTTACATCCTTCGGACTGTTGTCATCTTTTGTTGTCATATTCACGGCCTCTCGTCCGTGCCCCCCCTAGGTTTCTTCCGGTCTGTTTATATTTCTGTGATAAGAGTTATTGTAACTTTTTACACTATTTACATTGTTCGGACTGTTGTCCTTATTTTTGCTGCCATATTCACACACACACACACACACACACACACACACACACACACATACATACATACATATATATATATATATATATATATATATATATATATATAATTATTATTAATTAAACATTTCCATAGGTTTATAATTTTTATTTCATGAGTGCTATAAAAAAAGCAGCTCTAAATCTTCAAGACCCACAAACAAATCACAAATGAAATGGAAAAAATACTCCCGCTTATTTAGAGAGTGGGAAAAGACAGGGAGTATTGAGCTATTTTGATATACTGACGTCAGATTTAATTTTAATATGTCAGTGTAACTTGCATACAATCCCGTCTGGTTCTGTCAACGGCTACAATTCCAGTGCAGCTATTTTTAATTCAGCAAATTATTTGTAAATAATATTAAGAGAACATTTTTAAAGATTTCGAAATTAGCAAAAAATATTTCATTTTTTTTATAATTAACCAAGAAATTTATATTAAAATACCTGAGAGATTTGAATTAAACGAGTATTAATTATATTCAGAGAAACATATTTTATAAACGTTATATACCTAGTGTCCTGAACTTTTATATCCTAGATGTATTTATTAAGATTTAGCAGGATATGAATATACTTTAAACTAAGGAAAAGTTACATCGGATACACTTGAATATTTCTTGGTAGGTACCATACACACAGACACCGATAAAGAAACGTACATACACACACATACATTGAAAAAGACACGCCGATACACCTACCAAGAAATATTCAATTGATTTGAACCTTTTAAAACGCTTTATTCTACATTCAACATCATCATTTGATAAGACACCAGAAGTGTTGAAACAAAATGGCTATTTTTGTAGTGATTTTATAGCATATTTATGTTATAATTTTCGAATAAATAATTATATATATATATATATATATATATATATATATATATATATATATATATATATAGTCGAGAGGAAAGCATTAATGAACAAGGACTATAAAAGAACGGGTCTCAAAAAGAGAGAAAATGACTATTGACATTGCATTTAAATTTTTCAAGCTCAAACTTGATTGGAAAGTAAAAAGCCGAAAAAGAGTTCCACAAATGAGAAGTGCGAGATAGGAAACTGTTAGCAAAGAACATTTGTAATAAATATGTGTTGTATTTTAGCTTGGGGTTAATTTATATATTATATAATTTGAATAACAGGAGGTTTTGAATTCAATAATTTCCAATTAACATGTTTCTACTTATGTATGTTGGTTTGGGAAAGAGAAGATTTATATTTGAAAAGATTCCATATATAGCTGGTGTAACAGCAAAATTGTCCAAATCGTGTAGCGGCATGGAATAATTGTCCATCCCACAAAAGATTTAATAGCTCAAAAAAACACTAAACTTATTGAGTTTCTTTCTTCCAGGTTTTCTTGTAAGACATTTAGCTACCTTGACAGGATTTGTCATAAGAATCACTGAAAACCCTTTGAGATATTCGGCTAGAAAGAGAACAGGTTAAAATCGTTTTGTGTCACACTATGTCTTCCGAACTGAGCAATGGTGAGAGGAAAAAGATCATTCTGGCTTTTAGTAATGGTACCAGCATTCATACACTGGCTTTCATCTTCAAAGTCCATTCAAGAACCAAGAAGAGAATGGTGAATAAGTTTGAAAGAGAGAACGATAGAGGAAAATTGGATCAAGATGTCACAACAGGAAGAGGGATCTTAACTTTGAGCTAAATACATTTTTATTGTTCAAATTAAGGTCTAATAGTGTTATGGAAACATCGTGTGTGTGTGTGTGCGCGCGCGCGCGTGTAGAGTGTGCGATAGATAAATTGTCGTTTGATTGACAGTAAAAATGCAAATAACACTGACATCTCTGACAATATATATAATCACACCCAGATGAAATAAAAAAAGAGAAGAAATCAACTGAACGTTTATATTGGCAAGGCCTTCACGCCAGTGAAAGCGAGAATATTTTTGCAATTACAATGAGATGCATATATATATATATATATATATATATATATATATATATATATATATATATATATATTTTGTGTTTCTTCCCAGAGGAAATATTATCTTCCGAGTAACAAATGCAATCTCAGAAAATCAGGCAGATGTCATAGACATTAAAGGACAGCAAGAAATAATTAAAATAATTCAAGAAAACAAAGAAGATCCCTCATACAAGATGGACATCTAATCTTTCTCTAATCCATAACTCTCTCTCTCTCTCTCTCTCTCTCTCTCTCTCTCTCTCTCTCTCTCTCTCTGCGTCTGTCTGTCTCTCTCTGTCTGTCTCTTTCTGTCTGTAAGAGTGCTTGTGTGTGACAGTCTTTTGAATAGGAAGAGAGGTTTAACCATTCATTCCTGTTTAGGATTGGGTTTCCAGTTCCTTTACAACCTACTTGAACTATATACTTTTGAATAGGAGTAGATTTCTATCCCTTGCTTTCTGTTTAGGGCTTCCTTCTAAAATATACTTCAACTCTATAATTCTAACGTCACCACCTAAACTCTAAAATGTTATTTATTTATTTTCTTCCTTCAGTAGGAGTAGATAGGTTTTTTGAATAGGAGTAGAGGTTTATCCCTTGTTTCCTGTTTAGGATTGGGTTTCCGCTTCCTTCTAAAGTCTACTTCAACTCCATACTTCTAACGTCTCTGCCTAAACTCTGAAATGTTATTTATTTATTTTCTTCCTTCAGTAGGAGTAGATAGGTTTTTTGAATAGGAGTAGAGGTTTATCCCTTGTTTCCTCATTAGGATTGGGTTTCCGGTTCCTTCTAAAGTCTACTTCAACTCTATACTTCTAACGTCTCCGCCTAAACTCTGAATTGTTATTTATTTATTTTCATCCTTCAGTAGGAGTAGATAGGTTTTTTGAATAGGAGTAGAGGTTTATCCCTTGTTTCCTGTTTCGGATTGGGTTTCCGGTTCCTTCTAAAGTCTACTTCAACTCTATACTTCTAATGTCTCCGCCTAAACTCTGAATTGTTATTTATTTATTTTCTTCCTTCAGTAGGTGTAGATAGGTTTTTTGAATAGGAGTAGAGGTTTATCCCTTGTTTCCTGTTTAGGATCGGGTTTTCGGTTCCTTTCCAAAGACAATAAAGTTAAGCAGATGTGGAAATTTAAATATTTGGGAGGTTTTCTGACAAAGGACAGTAAGTGCGACGCTGAGATCCGAAGACGTACTGGGATGGCCAAAGACACATTCCAAAAGCTAGGTAGAGTATTAGGAATCTGGAGGATTTCGGTAGTAACAAACAAAAGAGTACTGAACAACTACGGGATATCTCTTCTCCTTTACGTCTGCGAATGTCGGACGGTCTCATCAAAGACGAAGAAAAGACTCGAAGCAGCAGATGTATGGTTCTACAGAAGGATGCTGAGGATACCATAGGCCGAACATGTGAGCAACGATGAGGTTTTGGAGAGTATGCGATCAAGGAGGAAGCTTATACTTAACACGGGGAAAAAACAGCTGAAATTTCTAGGACACGTAATGAGATAGAAGGGCTTTGAGAATCTGATACTCACTGGACGGATATAAGGAAAGAGAGACAAGGAAAAGTAATGCGTGATATACCTAGCAAGCTATTTTAAACTCGCAATGGTAAATGGATCAGAGATTATGCAACCGCCTTAATGACGAATCTGTGCTGCACGTATGTCAAAAATGTAATCATAATATTGGTCTGCACGTGTGTAAAAAAGGGGGGATATATGTTTATTATCCCCGAGAGACTAAATTAGATATGTTTTGCATTAGTCTCAAAAATTAGATGTACTTTTGGATTACACGAGCGACGAACAGGTGGACATCGGTTTTGTTTTGCACCCAGTGTTAAACAGGGAAAAGTAAAATTGTTTTTTTCCGCGAGACTAAAAAAAGTAGATATAACGAATGTTCATAAAGGTAGAAAAGAGTTCGAGTTGCACGTGAATCAAAAAGAGAGAGTCACATATATTGGGTTTCCTGGGGTGACTAATAGGGACATAAGGGATCGATTTGCACGGGAATCAAGAAGGGAGAGTCGCTGGAGAGTCTAAAAGGCAGATAGGATTTCGGCTTGCAAGTGAATCAAGAAGGGAGAGTTGCATATCTTTGGTTTTCTGGAGAGTCAAAAAGGGAGATACGGGTTCGGTTTGCACTTGAATCAAAAAGGGAGAGTCGCATATGTTGGGTTCCCTGGAGAGTCTAATAGGGGGGCGGTTTGGACGTGGGTTTAAATGGTAAACATGGGGTTTTCTTGCGTGTGATTCAAACAATCAGACGTAAGTTTGGTTTGCTCGAAAACCTAATAGTTAGGGATAGATTTGATTTATGCAAAATTCGTAAAAATAATCAGTTTTGGTAGAATGTGGACTTCTATTTGGAGTCTGCTACCTGTCTGCTTACCACTAAGCCCAACCCACAGAGCGATGAATTCATAGCGAAAAGGATAAAAGTGTGAATGTGAGAGAGAGTAAAAGAGAGTGAGAGATAGACAGATAAAGAGAGTAAAATAGAAGGTAAGAAGAGAGTGAGAAAGAGAGTAAAAGTGATAGATAAGAAGAGAGTGATACAGATAGAGAGAGTAAAAGAGAGAGATAAGAAGGATAGAGAGAGCAAAAGAGAGATATAAGAAGAGAGTAGGAAAGAGAGGAAGAAAGAGAGAGTAAAAGAGAGAGATAAGAAGAGAGTGAGAAAGTGTGAATGATAGAGAGAGAGAGAGAGAGAGAGCAAAAGAGAGAGGCAAGTAGAGAGTGAGGAAACTTGAATCATAGAGAGTGAAACTAAAATAGAGAGATAAGAGAGTAAAAGAGAGAAAGGTGGAGGTAGAGAGTAAAAAAGAAAGACAAGAAGAGAATGAGAAAGAAAGAAAGAAAGAAAGTAATGGAGAGAGATAAGAGAGTGAGAAAGATAGAGAGAGAGAGAGAGTGAAAGAGTAAGATAAGTGAGTGAGAAAGAGACAGATATAGAGAGAGAGATTGAGTAATAGAGTTTGAAAGAGAGAGAAAAAGAGAAAATTTGCGTGTGAGAGAGAAAGAGAGAGAGAGGGTGCTGGAGGTGGTGAGATTTGAAGTTTTTACATTTAAAAATGAATTTTCCCGATATTCACCAATTTTGAGGGCAAGTTCGGATTGCTTTCCCTCTGTAGATTTAAAGCTGGCTTTCTAAGTCAGTGGGGTGGGTTTCACCCTATGGGGGAATTTCAGTATATCAGGATTTTGTGCGGGAGGGGAATCTTTTACTTTTTCTTGTTTTTATTTACCGAATTTTGAGCCCATCGTAAGTGCGAAAAAACCCAAAAAAACGATGGTATGATGAATCTTAGATTCAATATGGATTCACCCTAACCTCTGATTTGGCCTTTGTGTTTCTTGAATTACCTGTCTTATCTTCTCGGTACTATCCTTTAAAAAAAGCAACCAGGAAAAGAAACTTTTATAAAATTCAGATTCATCATATAAAAAGGCTTAAAAAATCGAGAAAAACAACAATCCGTGACCAAGATGCCTAAGAACAAAGTGTAGTATCTGTTCCAGCAGCAGACGGCCGGCCCACGGCTCCAGTCATCTTCATCAGCAATAGCCGCAGCTATATCCAGCCATTTGTTAGCAACCCTCCAGCTCCAGCAGGCCATCCGAACCAGAAGCAACGATATACGATACACTATCTTTTTCAGGACAACACTTTTCAACAACTACAATTTTTTTTCAGCGCAACACTCTTCAACAACTATAAAGCTGTCCTTTTCAGGACAACGTTCCTCGGTGTCTACAAAATTGTCCTTTTTCAGGACAATGGTTCTCAGCGACTACAAAACAGTCCTTTTTTAGGGGGACAACGCACCACAGCAGCTACAAAACTCATTTCATGACTATGCTCCTCATTAACTGCAAAACTGTCCTTTTCAGGACAACGCCTCTCAGCGGCTACAAAACTGTCCTTTTCAGGACAACGCCTCTCAGCGGCTACAAAACTGTCCTTTTTAGGACAACGCCTCTCAGCGGCTACAAAACTGTCCATTTAAGGAAAATTCTTCTCAGCGACTACAAAACTGCCCTTTTCCGGACAACTCCCCTCAGCGGATACAAAACTGTCCTTTTTAGGACAACGCCCTTCTCACTTTCTATATGAGCATGCAGAGATATTTTTGCCTTGTAAAGTGTAACCTTATTTTGGTTGTTGTACTTTCATTAACGAAAATAAATAAATATATATTTTTTACTCAAGTTTTCGTTTTGTTGTCGTCTCTCGCCATTTAATATTTGTTTACGGGCCAATACACCACCCGCAACACATGCTTAGGTTTATTTTTCTAATAATTAGTTATGAATTAGAGCAATTTACTCTACAAGTTTTCAAATTCATCAACATTTTCTATATTTTAAGACATTTTTATGTTTATACATTCTTTTTATAGATACAAATATTTAAGTAAATGCTCTGTTTTATAATAAACAGTATTAAACAACATTTACCGGCCTGAATGTCCGAGAAATTATCACAGAAAATGTTCGTCCTCCGTCTGGATTCGAACCTGTATCCTATACTACTAACTAGTAGTTAGTTTGTAGCTTGACGTGCCTTTAACCGATTTGGTCACAGAGGAGCATTCGGTTATCAAGATCGAATTTACTGTCTTTAAACTTCAATCTTCCATGAATCTCTCACGTACATTCATATCTGCTCAAAGCGTATCCAAATGTAAACAAATGACGTCACACATGAAATGGACCATGTCCGACAATTATTTTAAGACATTTTTATGTTTATTTTTATGTCGGAGTACGAATATTTTCTGTGAGAATTTCTCGGACATTTAGACTGGTAAATGTTGTTTAATACTGTTTATTATAAACAGAGCATTTACTTAAATATTTGTATCTATAAAAAGAATGTATAAACATAAAAATGTCTTAAAATAATTCTCGGACTTTGTCCATTTCATAATGTGTGACGTCATTAGTTTACATTGGGATACGCATCGAGAAGTTTGAAGTTTAAAAGCATTAAAATCGACCTTGCTAACCGAAACGCTCCTCTTTGGCCCAATCGATTAAGGCACGTCAGGCTATATCACGGTTCCGTATAGGATGCAGGTTCGAATCCTGTCAAAGGACGAATATTTTCTATGAAAATTTCTCGGATATTCAGGCCGGTAAATGTTATTAATACTGTTTATTATAAACAGAACATTTACGTAAATATTTGTATCTTTGAAGAAAGAACGTATAAGCATAAATATGTCTTAAAATAATTGTCGGACTTTGTCCATTTCATAATATTTTCTATATTGTTATAAAATTTATAAAAATTCTCTCGAAAAATAAGCAATTAAATGTACAAATAGGGAAATCCTCTGATTGTCGTTCCATGCGTAGTTCAATAATTTAGAGAACGGTTAAGTCTGGATAAATCAACTCCTGCTAGGGCCAAACTTGTTGCCAAAGTCGGAGACGAGGACTTAGACAAGCCCAAAGACCTCAATGGGAAAACAAGTAGATGGTGATTACAACAGAACTTAACGGTTGAACCAGCGGATAAAGGGCTACGCATGATGGACATGCTACAGAAGGCGTCACTCGGAATTATATTCAAAACGGAGCCCCCTCGAGAAAAAAACTCCAAATCCATGATAGTTGATTGAAAGTTAAGAGTATGTTCTGTGACAATGAAATATTTAGAGCAGGCTTTTTCTATGATCGGTGAATTTCCTACAGGCGAGATTTGAGGCATACAGGGGTGGAATGTTTCTCATTGACTGTAATTCTCATCTGAATAAAATCAATTTAAATACAGTCCTTTTATCTATAAGCCTACCATTCCTCCATCCTTAAAATATTGCTGCCGAATATGGTCTAGTGATCCCTCTATATATCTAGAGATCCTTGATAAAATCCAAAGAAGAATCAGCAAAATTATTGGTCCTCATCTTGCGTCTCGGCTTAAGTAACTTTCCCGTCTCCATAAAGTTGCCTCCCTGTGCCTTTTCTATAAAAACGTCCAGGGTAACTGTCCCGATGAGCTGTTCGCAATGCTATTTAGATTGTATGAATTTAAGCGAAGTACTAGACTGGCGTCGAGATCTCGTCAATTCACAGTTGAGTTGGCTAGATGTAGCCGTAAGTTCTATGTTAACAGTTTCTTCTCATGCACTTTTTGCTTGTGGAACTCTCTACTGCATCCATGCTACCCAGCCAACTTTCATCTGCAAAAATTTAAATGCAATGTCAATCACTATCAATCTACTGTCCTCCTGTTTACTCTTCTTTTGTTCCCGCTACTTAGTAATGTTCCTGTTTTCTAATTCTTGCTCGTTCAGCAATCCTTTATATCTTAATGGCTTTTAATGCCTTGCTTGGGGTGCACTGCTTATATATATATATATATATATATATATATATATATATATATATATATATATATATATATATATATATATATATATGTAATCAAATATATGGATATAGATTCGATAGTATGAAGAAAATATACGGAAAAACAAACAAAAAATCCTTAAACCATCTTCAGTTGAATTGATTATGTTAATTATATTTTATGAATATGTCCTGAAGATGGTTTATTAGACCGAAACGTCCGACGTTGACATATTAACATTAAAACATCATAATTGTATATAAAGATTTTTTGTTTGTTTTTCCGTATTTTTTTCTTCATATATATATATATATATATATATATATATATATATATATATATATATATATATATATACTAATAATAAAAAACTCAGTTGGTAAAAAAACTTTTAAGTCAATCAAAGAAAATTGGTATTTGAGGAAAAAAGAAAGAACTGAAACATCCGAACAGGGCGAAATAAATCATCCAGTGCCTTAAGTTTTTAGTCAAAAAGAAAAAAAACCCAAACGAGTAATAAAGCTAAAACGTAGAGTGCTCAATACGGTAAGCAGAGCTGGGATAAATAAAATAAAATAAACTATAAAATAAATAAGATTACTTCAGGGTAATCTGTCCAGATTACCCTGAAGATCCGTTTAGCTGATACCTAGGTCGGTTGTTCAAGGCTGTTTAGGATTTATTTCACACACACACACACACACACACACACACACACACACACTGTATATATATATATATATATATATATATAAATTTATATATATATATATATATATATATATATATATATATATATATTATATATATATATATATATATATAGATATTTTTACGACGGTTAATGCTAGAAATTTCGGCATTTTATCATGAAACAGCAAACCTGCCCCAAAACTAAGTGCCCTTTTTAAAATTAAAGGAATATTTTTCTGTAATCATTGTAGGATTATCAGAGACAAAATAAAAGGTTATGTGGGGTCTGGTAACATTCATATTTTCCATATATTAATAGTAATTAATTCGATAATAAGCTATTTCGGATTATGAAAAGGCATTCTATTATAGGATACCAAGGAAACACACACGCACACACATGCAAACGGTTATATATATATATATATATATATATATATATGTGTGTGTGTGTGTGTGTGTGTGTGTGTGTGTGTGTGTGCAAATATATAGAAAAATAGGAACGAACTCTTTATGTAAATAATCCGGAATTTTTTAGTATTTTTATTTAAAAAAAAAAAAAAAACTGTGCTCAATACAAAAGTAGAGCCTAAATTATAATTATTAAATATGATTCCTTCTTGCTACATAAGAGTTCTCATGTTTCAAAAAACAAAAGCCAAAAACTTTAATATTAATTATTAAAATTAAATTGAATTAAAGTATCAAGCTCTGTTTTCATCTTCAAGTGAAATCTTTGGAACCAATATATATATATATATATATATATATATATATATATATATAAAAAATATAGTCTTAAGGTGTGCTATATTTATGGGATAAAGTGCTCAATATCAGAGATAGAGTAAATATAAAAGTGAACATAGAAGTTTAAAAGGCGACAGTCTGTTTCATTATATGCAATCGTCAGGCCTGACGATTTGCATATACATGAAAACAGACTGTCTCTAAGTATTGACTTCTATGTTCACTTTTATATA